CTGAATATATCTGTATATAATTGTATATATTTTCTTGTATCATTCATTAGTGTTTTAATTAAAGCTGTGTAGTTTAGTTTTCAATCCAGCCAAGTCTCTCTCTTTTTCTCTCTCTCCTTCCCTACCTGGGTGGGGGGGGCGGGGAGGGGATTGAGAGCATTGTTGTCAGACCTGAGTCAAACGGTGACACATACGGTGTTATTAACAGCTAGTATAAACTTATGTGCAATAACTAATAAAATATCTTGCTTCAGGCTATTTTGTTAGGGATGCAAGCATACAGTAAGTTATGCACATGTTTATATAAAACAGTTGCCATCTTGATGATTTGTTCACATGAGACTTCTTCGAAATACTTTTATTAGTCTCAAATATGAAAAACAGAGGATATTTAAGGATGAAAATAGTCATGGTAGAGCACCATAAAGTGGATAGTGGGATTGAGGAGGACTGGGGTAGAAATCAGTTAACTGGACATCCACAAATCCATGGGCCCTGATAGAATGCACCTGTGGGTGCTGAGGAAGCTCGCAGAAATCATTTCTAGGCTGCTCTCCATCATCTTTGAAAAGTGCTGGAGAACAGGAAAGGTGCCTGAGGACAGGATGAAAGGCAGTGTCATTCCATTCTTCATAAAGGGCAAGAAAGAGGACCCAGGTAACTACTGACCTGTCAGCCCTACCTCCATCCCTGCAAAGGTGATGGAATAGTTTGTTCCTGCACATCTCGAAGCATGTTGAGGAAAACAGGGTCATCAGGAGTAATCAGCAAGGATTCACCAAAGGGAACTCATGCTTGACCAATCTGATACCCTTCTACGGTGGCATAACTGGATGGATAGATGAAGGGAGGGCAGCAGATGCTGTCTACCTTGAGTTCAGCGAGGCTTTCAACACTGTCTCCCACCACATCCTCACAGCAGAGCTCAAGAAATGTGGATTGGATGATAAGGCAGTGAGGTGGACTACTGGGAACTGGCTGAAGGACAGAACACAGAGAGCTGTGGTAAGTGGGGCAAAGTCTAGTTGGAGACTCATCTCTAGTGGAGTTCCCCAGAGCTTGGTACTGGGTCTAACCCTATTCCAATATATTCATCAATGTCCTGGAAGAAGGGACAGAGTGCACCATTAGCAAGTTTGCCGATGACACAAAACTGGGAGGTGTGGCTGACACACCAGAAGTCTGTGCTGCCATCCAACATGACCTGGACAGACTGGAGAGCTACGCAGGGAGAAACTTAATGAAATTCAACAAGGGTTTCAAGCACAGGGTACTGCATCTGGGGAAGAACAACCCCATGTATCAATACAGGTTGGGGGCTGGCCTGTTGGAGAGCAGCTCTGGAGAAAAGGACTTGGGCGTCCTGGTGGACAACAGGCTGATCATGAGCCAGCAATGTGCCCTTGCAGCCAAGAAGGTCAATGGCATCCTGGGGTGCAATAAGGACCAAGTGGCCAATAGGTCAAGGGAGGTCATCCTCCCCTTTACTCTGCTCTGGTAAAGCCACATCCAAATTTTTTTTGTACTCTGCATAAATTGTTACAAGATTTTATGTAGGCTTCAGGGTGCTGCCATTTCTTGCTTTACATTTAATTTGTCTTTCGAGCTCAACATCAACTGATTGCACTGCCCATCTTCTAGCAGGGGATGCCGAGAAGGGCCACAGATCTGCCACAGCAGAGAGCATAGAGGCACTTCGGAACCCACAGAATCATAGAATAGTTTGGGTTGGAAAAGATCTTAAAGATTGTCAAGATCCAACCCTCCTGCATGGGCAGAGACACCTTCCATTAGGTCAGCTTGCTCAGAGCCACAACCAACCTGCCTTGAACACTTCCAGGGATGAGGCTTCTACAACTTCCCTGGACAACCTGTGCCAGTGTCTCAACATCCTCACACTAAAGAAATCTTTTCCTAATATCTAAATCTCCATTCTTCCAGTTTAAAGCCATTATCCCCCAGCCTATCACTATAAGCCCTAATAAAAGCTCTCTAGTACGCCCTCATCAGGTACTGGAAGGCTCTTATGAGGTATCCCCAGAACATCCTCTTCTCCAGGCTGAACAACTCCAACTGTCTCAGACTACCTCCACAGGAGAGGTGCTCTAGCCCTCTGGTCATCTTTGTGGCCCTCCTCTAAACTTGCTCCAACAGCTCCACGTCCTTGTGTTGGGGGCTCCAGAACTGGACACAGTACTCCAAGTCAGGTCTCACAAGATAAAGGGGGAGAATCACCTCTCTTGACCTACTGGTCATCAAAAGAAGAAGCCCAGGACAAGGCTGGCTTTCTGGGCTGCAAGTGAACATTGTTGGCCCATGTTGAGCTTCTCGTCCACCATCATCCCCAAGTCCTTCTCCTCCAGGCTGTTTTCGATCCATTCTCCACCCAGCCTATATTTGTGCTTGGGATTGCTCTCACTCAGGTGCAGGACCTTGCACTTGGTCTAGCTGAACTTCTTGCAGTTTGCACAAGCCCACCTTTCAAGCCTGTCAACGTCCCTCTGGATGGCCTCCCTTCCTTCCAGGGTGTTGACCTCACCACACACTTGGGTGTCACTGGCAAACTTGCTGAGGGTGCACTCAGTGTCACTGTCTATGTCTCTAACAAAGATGTTAAACAGCACTGGTCCTACTAATGACCCTTCCGGAACACCACTTGTCACAGGTCTCTATCTGGACATCGATCTAGTCAGCTCCTTAGCCAATGAGCAGTCCACTGATTGAATCCGTATTAATCCAGTTTGGATACCAGGATGTCACGCAGGACAGTGCTGAATGCTTTGCACAGGTCCACTTGCTCTTCCTTTGCTCACCAATGCCATGACCCCATTGTAGAAGGCCGCCAAATTAGTTAGGCAGGATTTGCCCTTGGTGAAGCCATGCTGGCTGTCACCAATCACCCCTTCATTTTCCACATGCCTTAGCAGAGCCTTCAGGGGGATCTACTCCATGATCTTGCCAGGCACAGAGGTAAGACTGACTGGCCTGTACTTCTCTGGGTCTTCTTTTTTTCCCCTTTATGAAAATGGGAGTTATGTTTTCCCTTTTCCCATCAGTGGGAACGCTGACAGACTGCCAAGACTTTTCAAATATGACGGACAGAAGCTTTGCAACTTCACTGATGGAGAGGACCCTGAAAATGGGTCCTCTTCTCCTGAAGTGCCTGCAGTGAGGAGGCTGAAGAACAAAGAGGGAGAAAGGAGGATTTTTCCAGCAGCAAGGGGTATTTTTTTCCTGAAGTGTTTGTTTTGTGTTTGTTTTCTTTCAATATCAGAATCAGTAATTAAAGGTTTGATAACTGGCAATAAATTAAATTGACTGAAATTCCACAAAAATCAATCATGTGTTTCTGCGCACAACTGTTGAATCCAATCTGACAATTATAGTTATCTACCAAAATTCAGTTACTGTAGTCTGCTACATTGAAAAACTCAACAAGAACACGATGAAAAAGCAGAGAATGGGGATTAAAAGAACACTCCAACAAAACACACACTACCAAAAGAAGAACAATTAACACATAAAAACAAGGTAAACTTATAAAAAAGATTAATTCAGGACTTTTACCTTTGTGTGTCTGAAAGTGCTAATTTAGCACACAAGTTCCTAAATAATTATTAAGAATCAATACTACTACAATGCCATTATAACTATTAAAGAACTGCATAAAAAAATTGCATTATGTCATCTCTAGCACAAGAATAACCCTATAATAATTTACTTATCTACAAGCCACTCAAATCAGACAAGATGGAATGTTTGAAGCTGGCTATACAAAGGTCACTACTTCTAAGCAGCAGCTGGGTTCAGAACTTTAGACCCGAGTATTCTCAAAGCCAGGCACCTTCAGTCCTGCTTCTATGCATAGCCTGAATATCTCAGAATAGATAGCTGTAGCTTCACTACCACTTAAACTTATCCAAAATTCTAAAAACCACAGGTTCCTTTGCTTAGGTTCTGGGAGTACACATCCAACAGGCAAGAAAAACCATGCTATTTACATAAAAGCTCATTATTTAAGATAAATGTTGACAATCTTTTAAAAGTGACAGGCAGTATGCTAATTTGGATGGTAAATATGAAGAGAGGAACTCCTGATGAATTGAGAGATGCTCTTCGTGGACCTCTGTGGAAAAAGGGACCCATTGTTTCTCACCCCGTGCTGAATATCACCCTTCATTACAGTATACCACTTAAAATTTACCTCTTCTTTATCAATATTGTGTTACTGGACAAAGGAAACTACAAAGCAGAGAGGCTAGAATTTCATACATTCTGAACCCGAAGAATCTGAACTTATGTCTTGCCTTTCAGATAAGCATATGCCAGTTGCAGTTTGAACTTCCCTGCCAATCCAATTCTCCAGCTCAAAGGAGAGATGTTTTTATTAAAGTCAGCATGGCTTTAAGAAAAAACGACACAGGGACAGCAGAACAGTCCAAAGCACTAATTGACATTTGATGCAAGCTTGACGAAAGAAGGTGTTCTGTCAAACAAACCTTTCAAAAAAATTGTCATAGATGTGGAATAACACCACTTTATTTGGCAATTCTGCATTCTCAAGTTTGATGAACCTACACTGTAGCTGGTTCCCATCTTTCCATAACAAAATTCAGACCTTTTATCAGCTTTCAACTCTTCACATCTTAATCTCAAAAGAACACCTTACCTCTTCTTCCTACTAGAGGGACCTGTAAGTTGGAACTACCATCTATTGGTAATTTTAAGAGTGGTGCTCTTCAAGAGACTGTAACTGATTCTTCCTTTAATGCATATCACACAAACTTAAGCATAGCTTCTCTTTCTTTTCCTTTACCTTTTTTCCTCTTTATCTGTCTTTACTACAACAACTTGTTCTTAAAAAGCTATATATAGACCCTATGAAGTTTATATTCCTAAAGTGATGGTATTGATATAATAAGCTAGTACATGAGCAACAGCTGATAAGGACTTCAACACCCTTCACATGTGGCTTCATTGTCAGTTGGAATTCAAGATTCAGTGGGCTGAGACAAGTAGGACATCACTGCTAAATGGCTAAGACACTTGACTTTGGTATGGTTAATCCCTGCATGTATAATGTAACAGACTCAGATCACCCTGCAGTCATGCTTTTGATAGAGTCCCAGAAATGGAAAGAAGAGCTTGGAGCATGAACACTCCAAATTTTAAGTAGTTTAACAACTAAACTACATAGAACCTACAAAAGTATCTGCCCCACTTCCTCTTGAGTTGTTTAGAGAATATAAACAAATGGGCCATGTTTTGAACAAGAGTGAGGAAAAACTACCTCTAGCCCTGGATATTGTATCAATTCTGAATCCCTCTGCTCAGACTGACAGATACAGCACATTTGCCTTTTTAGACCTGTTGCAAAGTATATGCTTTTCTTCACTCATTTCTACGCTCAAAGCACAACCTTGTGTCGGTAATCAAATTTACCATAAGATCATAATTCAGAGTTATCACGGGTTCTTCAAATTATAGTCTTACAGAGCATAAATAATTTAACATAAGTGATGCACTAATACTGTAACTCGTTACTTCAAAAAAGTTACACTGAATGCTTTATCCTGAAATAGAATTGTTATGACAATTTGGGCAGCAAGATTACCAACAATAAACCAAGTTATTGCTGAAACTGTTGGAGATAATATTAAATACAAAAAGTAAAGTATAGCTCGGTATATTGAAGGCTCATGGCTCTTCGTGTGTCACTGGCCTTTATTTCCTAATTTTTATTTCAGGGTCAAAAGTCCTTTACTGCCTTGTTGTAAGGCTGCTGCAGAAATCAGTAAGGACTCATAGGCTTTTATAAATTCTCCTTAAGAGCTTAAAAATGCATGCACTACAATTAAACTAAATTCCTCACTATTTTCACTCCTGTTCTTATTTCCTCTCATGTAAGAAAAAACAATGTTCTCAATGACTGTCAGTGCTGTAACACATAGGCAGGTTTTACAAACAGTGAAATAACAGTGTTAAAATAAATCTTATTTGTTATGCATGTTTTGTTGAGAACATCCCAACAAGACATGCACTCCATGCTAAGACAAAGATTTTCATTGTTGTTCTAAGACAGGAATAACTAGTAGCTATTTCTGTTTCCACCTATCAGATTCTAATATTTACATTTTTAAGACCTGTTGCATAAAGTTGAGTATAAAGCGGTCTGGGCAAATTTTTGGCAATCTGAGACCTAAGCACCACCAATTTAAACCATTTATGAACAAAAAAAAGTTATCTGTAACCTCCATGGTTGACTAAACCCTATACTAAGTCATACCAACAACTTTAAACAGTTTAAGTGCAATTATTTCATATTTACAAAAAGACAACACTACAATCTAACAGTGGTCATGACAGTGTGAACCTTTTCACTAAATTTTTAGTGTAGTAAAAGTTAACACAGCACTTATTGGAAAAATATTCACAGACCTCAATGAACCTCCATTCTTTATGCTCAGTTCACTGAGATCACAGAAAGCTGTTCAAAAGGTGTTGCAAAACAGTCTATTCTTCATCCTCGAGAGTTGTGACAGCATTAGGATATTCCCTTTTTTCATAAAAATGGGACAGAGATGCCTCTTGAATATTGTATGTTACAATTACAGTAATTGCTCTAAAGCTATTTTTTAAATAAAATAATGTCAAGGTAAGTTCACATTCTGCAAGTCAATAAGGTCAAAATTAATAAGAATTGATCATTTATAACTGAGTTTACTTTGTCTGACAAAATTAGACTATAAAATTATTTTTTACCCAAAATAATTGCTTCATACCACACAGAATAGAAAAATTGCAAGTACAGTACAAAGCAAATCTGTACCTGGAAAAGTAACTCTGAAGTTAATTAGAACTCGAAATTCTCAAAAGGATTATTAGGTCATTATTCCACTGCTAGGACAACCATCCATAAGCCTGTAAAATTAAGAGCTCTGCTATACTCTGTTTAAGGAGGCACCTATATCAAAGCATTGGCAACATACAAAAGCTATGTCTTAGCAGATGCCAGGACAGAAGTTCAACAAGTTAATGAGACACTCTTTAACTCAAGTGGATGTCACTTATTAGCAATTTGCCTTGAAAAAGCTTGTACGAAGTTAAATACTCTGAAGGGCATCTTCAAGCATAACAAGACAGTCCAAACTATCATCCACAGTGAATGAGTACATAGCAGACAGTTATTTGAAAGGAAGCTAAAAAAAAAAGTGTACCAAAAAGATATTTTCAAGCACAATTAAAAAAAAAAAAATTTACTAAAACAAACTCTATGTTCATCTAAAATAGCCAAAGTACTGCAAACAATTCAGAACCTTTGTAGAATTTAAAACACCATAAAATAAAATCACCAGTATAAAAAAGCATTTTAAATGCTGAATTCAAGTCAAGAAGAAAAAAAAAGGCTAATTTTAACTGTAAGTACTCTTTCTAACTGACACCAAAAACACAGTACTTCTTGAAGGTAAACTTTATTTTACTGCTTTAGATTAAGAGCATTCTGCTGTGTAATTTCTGTTTGTGGTAGCTTAGGCAAGATGAAACATAGTAAAAACATTGTATTTGCCTTCATATGGGCACAGTCAGTCTTTGTGTTATCTCTGTTACATTTTTTGAGTGTCCATGAACCCTAGCAACAATATGATTACCAAAACATGTTTTAACATTAAAAAATAGTGGGTCTTACACTGATAGGACTACTCCAGTGTGCTAAAGGACAGTAAGCATTTCTGAACACAGAGTTCAAGTGTTCTTTGTTACCTAGGAACAAATTAGTTATTTCATGCCTAACAGAACTTACCAAAGTCCAGTTTACCATGGATCCATACTGTGTATCCATATACACTCCCTGCCTGGCTCCCACCACAGCATTTCACCATCCTTCCATGGCAGTACTTGATACCCAAATGTTATAAATTTCTCTTAACATACCCCAGTATCCACAGTCCAGCTACGAGATGTACAAAAAGCAGCATGTGCTGGCTCTACACGCTTGACAGAACATGCGGCCTGACTTCCCACTGAAACCTTTCCTTCTGTGTCGTAGTATTTTATTTCTTCCTTTCCGGCCACCTCTCTTTATCCATGAGGTTTAACTTAATGGAGCAACGTATTTCCAGAATGCCAAAGACAGCTAAATACAGTAAGCTGTACCTGCTCATCTCTTTGTTTCCACTCCTGCCAGTTTTCTTCCTGAGAGTCCTTCTGCACTTCAGTATGCAGTTTTTGTTCATGCTGAGACAGACAACCTCCATGTGAGGATTTCTGAGGAATCTTTTTAAAAGCAAGGCTTCTGAGCTGAAAAACAGTTATTTTTAACAATAATCAAAATGTTGACAAGTATATAGGAAAAGTAGTAATGGATTAACAAAAGCATTCAGAAACATGTGCAAGTAGACATGCATGTGCTTTACTTTACTCCATCATTTGGGATACAATTTTGCTTACTCACTTATGGGACACACCATAATGTAAAATTATAGAAAACTGTGGATCAGAAACACCACAGTCACCTAACATAAACCAGTTTAAAAGTAAATACGTTTTCCCAGCTAAAAAAGCTTTCAACAAATCTGAAGTGGTAACTGCACCTGACAGATTTCATGCTACATCAGGCATTGCAGAGTGCTCACACCTGACACAAATAAAATATAATGCCAAAAAAAGGTGGTATACACAGATTTGGCATCAGCAAACAGAGGAACTAGAGGTTTAGGTACAATATGAATAATGTCCTTACAGTTTGTCAACAAGTCGGTCCCATTTTAAGAACCTGCAATAAGAACTATTTTTAATCACTGCACCATATGGATACAACAGTACCATCTTAAAATACCGTACATAATTATAAAAATAAATAATTAGTGAACAAGTAACCTGCAAATTTGGCAGCTTAAAGACATAGCTACACAAACTGAAACGTTAACTGACACTATGGTCCTTACTTGTGAGTGAAAATAAAGGCATCAAGACAATCTACTATCAATTTAGAGACACGGATTCTTTAACATAAAGGCTCCTGGAAGGGAGAAAGCACCTATTATCCAATGAAAGACGAAACAAAGGGAAGCAAGGTACAACAGTGTTCTCTTTAAAGTGTATGTACAGAGTGCCATAACTCCTTCTTAAAATGGCAACTTTACTTAAGGTTACTTCAAATCAGACAATCGTGCAGATACTTCAGAATTGTTTTCCTTCCCCTTTAAAGAGTTCCTGCCTTTTGCTTTGCTTCTGTCTTCCTTGCTGCCTGCACCAGCACTACATCTTCTGCTTTCTTCTTCAGATTACAGTGATGGCCAGAGCACTGGTACAGACCATTCTGATTTTTAACTCCAACAAAGTGTCACCATAGACAGGACTAAGTATAACTTTCATGCAGATGAACTTCTGTAGATATGTGCAATGCATACACACATACAGTTATTCTGATGGCATTTAATGTTTTGATGGTGCTAAAGCAGACATAAAGAAACACAAAGGTATGCTTACTGAAGACTTAATCTTCAATATAAAAAACAGCACCAAAGTTGAAATGATCACTTTATTTAGTATTACTGCAGCTCCTAAACTTTAAGATCTTATGTTAAATAGATACTAAAGGAAAAAGATGGGTTTGAGGGTGTTTTTTGTTCTACATACTAGAATTTTCTCAGACATGTAAAGTTTCAAGCAGAAAGATTATCTCAGATCTGTTCACAGACAACAGAACTGCAGTTTCCAGAATTTTGGAACAATTCTTTCAGCCTCACTTCTTAATTTCCATTTAATCTGAGGTTGAAGAATCCCAATGTCAGAAAACAACCACTGTTCTTGACTCCACCCCCTTAGTTCATGGGAAGAAGAGAGGGAAAAAAACAGGTTCTGGATTTAATAGATTAGGAGGCTGGAGTGATGGGTAAACCTGAAAATTACAACTTTGGAAACCAGATTTTAAAGGTCTTCAGACAGAGTAGGTAGGTATAACCATCTCCTAAAAAGAAAATAAAACCTTGAAAGCACCGTTCAATTGTAACATGTTGGCTGTTCAAGCAGGCAAGTAGAGACAGTCAACTACAAACCTTGGAAAACAAGTGGTTCCTAGCAATCACTTTATAGAAAGGTCATTCCCTTCACAAGAAATTATTCAAGCAATGCTGTCAAAAAAATAAAATGTATTAATTTATTCTCATGAAAAATGAGAACACATTTTTCTACTAGGATACTACATTCTATAGTAAGGACTTTTATATAAAGAATACTTAATAAAGCAAACAAAAAAAAGCCATCTCTGTGACTAAGCAGCATTTGTGTCATAAAGAAACCAAAACAATTACTTGTTAGGGACAGCAAAAATATATTTATTGGATAACAGCCTTACCCACTACTGAAAATATAATCCCTTTACCTCATTGGCCTCACTCTGCTGCTGTTCTTTCCTTTTTCTCCTTTTCTTTCTTTTTTTCTCATTTGTAGATGATCTTCCCCCTGAAGCCTGAGATTTACTGACACCTTGGCCACTTCTTCCTTTTCCTGGCTCTGAATCGGTATCACTCTCAACTTGTAGTAAAGCAAAACGAGACGCAGTGGTAGGGACTGAACTTACTACAGTAGATGCCATTGCCACACCTGAAATTCTACTGAGCTGGCTTCTTTTTAATTAGGTTTCCTAGGAAAATAGCAGAGACACAAGAATTAAAACAGTTGTTTGACCAAACAATCAACAATCCATATCTTTTAGCTGTGGGACTAGTATAAAAAAGCCCCACAAAAACTCACTATTACTTCTTTGCATTTTTACTAATTCATATTTTTTTAAGTATTTGAACAGGAAGAACAAAAGGAAGGAATATTTTATAAAACAATAGTTACTTTAGGCTAATACATTTGTTCCTCAGAGATTATGTTTGAAGGAAAAAAAAAAAAAAAGTAGAAGGTTCTAGAAGAGACAGGCCTTCATGATCTGGAAGGAAAAAGAAAATAAACAAAAAAGATATATGAATAGTGTAGCGCTCCAAAACTGTTTCAGGGGCCTTCTCTGGACCCTGATAAACATAAGACTTGAGAATAAGTAGACATTATGCCTATGTAGGCTCCAGTTTTGGGTGAATATCCTGATTTAATATTTTACAAGTAGCATAATTTTGTTTCCAAGCCATGGGAGATTAAACAAGCAGCTTTCTCCACAGGAGGGTAAGCCCAGCACTGTGGCTGGTATTGTTCTCAAACATCAGGCTTACCTATTCTTAACAGTGGATGATTTGGGCAGAGGGACAACGGGGTACCACATTTATGCCTTCTGTTGCCGCCCTTTAACCAATGTGTATACCCCTATGACGCCATTCTAAAGTACAATTCATCTGTGTAAAAGGTAAATTTTAGCACAAGAATATTTGGCTAATTGCAATTTTTCCATGCAAAATTTAGTGAATTAGAAGACTGAAAGAGACATTATTTAGCAGTGGTTAAAATTTTCATATAAAGCAGATATCTAGCTATGTCAATGTACTATGACAGAGAGATGTAGTGGAAAAAAATATATTTTTTAAAAGCACTATTGAAAGGAATCCTTGTTTGGCAACTGTAAACATAAGCTGAATGTCTGCTTAGATAGTCTACAAATGTGTTGCCTGTTTACTACTACTACAGAAGAACATGAGAATCTACAGAAATTTCAAGAGATCATTTTATCCCCAAATTCCAGACTTTCTCAAGGACAAATCTGTATAGGTGCTTTCAATATGTTCAGATGTATCAATGGGAAACAATGATGTGTTACCAACGTGATGGTAAACTGTCATGACAGTGACTGCTGCCCAAAAGTACTCTCGAAAAGGAGTATTACATTTTATTTCCCAGGGGTGAAATAAAATGAGCAAGCAAGCTGGTACTGATCTTTTGCAAGTTTATCAGAGATCACAGAATTCTTCACATACAAAAGACAGCCTACTCTATTTCTTTGGAAAAAAAAAAAAAAAAAAAAAAAAAAAAAAAAAGGAAAATTAAGCTGTTTGTATGAAGCAGGTTGTATCCTAATAATTAAACAAACTTGACATCAAATTATGAGCCCACCTGATGCTAAAGTTCAGACTCTGTGATCAGATTACAACCACAGATCTCAAACTACTACATCAGTCACATCTAAACCACTGCAAGTAGTTGCTACTCTAGTTTAATTATTAAATAACATTTTAAGCTTGGATTTTACTGGTTTTAGTTGTTTTCATGTGCGTTTTAATACTCAACAACTCTATACAGTAATCCTGCTTAGAAGCTAACTTACAGCTAAGGTATGTTGTGCTATGACTACTAAAACATACCACCATGCCATGGTTGACATTTTAATACCATACGTACAATTCTGATGCCTAGATTTTACCAAGTACCTAATATTTCAGTTCCAAGACTTGATTCTCCCTCCATCCATAGGAATACAATGGGTTGATCTCAACAGTTTTCAGCTAAGCACAGATGCTTGCCACCAAGTGTGCAGTATCTTTTCCTTTAACAGTGAATTATTATTTATATTGTCCTTATTATTATAGATATGCACAGTCACAGAAAATTACAGCACTGACATTCTCAAGCTTCAGACTGTGTTAAGAGGCTTTTTCACCACAAAAAAAAAAAAGACATTTGGATACCACAGAGTATTTTGTAATATCACAGATCAAACAAGGATCTGAAAAATCTTGTCAATGTTCCCAGTGCTTTCAATAAGGAGTTTGGCAGTCTGAGAATTATTATGCATTTTTTTAACAGTTAGTTGGTCAAAGCCTAGCTGTCTAAATACAAGAAAATTCCTTTCCTTATGATACCAAGTACAGCAAAAATGTCCAAGAGGAGTATAACAAGGCAAAGCATGTTTGTGGCATCTATGCAGCTCATTAATACCTCAAGTGATACTGAAAGTTAAAAAAAGCCTAACAAGTATACATCAGTACTTAGGAGTTGGTTCCAAGTATGTCATGCACTAGAACTAGTCATAAGCTTCTGAGAAAACTTCATCTGATCTACCAAGAGAGTTACTAACCTTCCATTTACACAGAATCACAGAATGTTAAGGGTTAGAAGGGACCTCTGAAGATCATCAAGTCCAACCCCCCTTCCAGAGCAGGACCAAAAACTATGGCAGATCACTCAGACAGGTATCCAGGCAGGTCTTGAAAGTCTCCAGAGAAGGAGACTGCACAACCTCTCTGGGCAGCCTGTCCCACTGCTCTGTCACCCTCACAGTAAGTTCTTCCACATGTTAAGGTGGAACTTCCTGTGCTCACATTTGAATTCATTGCCCCCCATCCTAGGGCACAAGTGACAAGACGTTGTCCCTGCCTTCTTGGTGCCCAGCCCTCATGTATTAATAAGACATTAATTAGATTCCCCCTTCAGTCTTCTCCTCTCCCAACTGAAAAGGCTCAGGTCTCCTAGCCTTTCCTTGTAAGGCAGGTGTTCCAGTCCCTTAATCATGCTTGTAGCATCTGTTGGACTCTCTCCAGTAGATCCCTGTCCTTCTTGAACTGGGGAGCCCAGAACTGGACACAATACTTGAAGTGAGATCTCACCAGGGCTGAGTAGAGGGGGAGGAGAACCTCCCTTGATCTGTTGGAGACACTCCTCCTGATGTACCCCAGGATATCATTGGCCTACTTGGCCACAAGGGCAAATTGTTGTCCCACGCAGAATTTGTTGTCTACTAGGACTCCAAGGTCCTTCTCCATGGAGCTGCTCTCTATCAGATCACCTCCTAGCCTGTACTGGTGTACTTTGTAGTTCCCTCCCAGGTGTAGGACTCTGCACTTGTTCTTGATGAACCTCATTAGGTTGCTCTTTGCCCAGCTCTCCAGCCTGTCCAAATCTTGCTGAATGGCTGCACAGCCTTCAGATGAATCAGCCAATCCTTCCAGCTTTGTGTCATCAGAAAACTTGCTGAGAAGACTCTGTCCTGTCATAAAGGTCACCGTTAAAGATGTTGAACAGGACTCGACCCAGCACTGATCCCTGGGGGACTCCACTAGTTACAGGTCTCCAGCTGTACTCTACCCCACACTTCCCAAGCTTACTCATAAGAATGTTACAGGAGAGTGTGTCAAAAGCCTTGCTAAGTTCAAGGTAGACACATCCACTGATCTCCCTGCATCTATCCATGCCATCACACCATCAAAGAAGGCTATCAGATTAGTCAAGCATAATTTCCTCTTGGTAAAACTATGCTGACTACTCCTGATAAACCTTCTTCTCTTCCATGTGTTCAGAGATTTCCTCCAGAATGAACCACTCCATCATATTTCCAGGGGTGGAAGTGAGCCTGACTGGTCTGTAGTTTCCTGGATCATCCCTCTTGCCCTTTTCCAAGACCGGAGTGTGACATTGGCTTTCCTCCAGTCCTCACGCATCTCTCGTTTGCCATGATTTTTTTTAAATGATGGAAAGTGGTAGAGCAACATCAGCCAGCTCTGTCAACACTTGTGGGTGCATCCAAACAGGGCCCATGGACTTGTGCACATTAAATTTGCATAACTGATCTCTAACACAATCCTCACTGACCAGTGGAGAGTCTTCCTTCCTCCAGGCTTCCTCTCTTACATCCAGCAACTGAGATTCATGAGGGCTGGTCTTAGGAGTAAAGACTGAAGCCAAGAAGGTTCTCAGCAACTCTGCCTTCCCTGCATCCTCTTATCACCAGGGCTCCCACCTCATTCAGCAATGGGCTCACGTTTTCCCTATTCTTCCTTTTAGGACTGATGTATATGAAGCAGCTCTTCTTGTTCTCTTTTACTTCTGTTGCCAGTTCATGCTCTAAGAGGGCTTTGACCTTTCTTGTTGTCTTCCTACATATGCTAACAATGTCCCTATAGTTGTCCCAAGTGACAAGTCCCTTCTTTCACAAACTGTACATTTCTTTCTTCCATGAGACCTTCTTCAGAAGATCCTTGCTTATCTATGCAGGTCGTTTACCACCTCTGCCTGATTTTCTACTAGAAGGAAGGCACCTATCTTGGGCTTGGAGAAAGCGGTATTTAAAAACTGATCAGCTTTCCTTGGCTCCCTTTTCTTCCAGAGTCTTAGCCCATGGGATTCCTGCAAGTAGATCTCTGAAGGGTACAAAGTTAGCCCTAGAGAAGTCCATGATTGTAATCCTACTTATTGCCCTGCTTCTTCCTTGTAAAATACTGAACTCCACCATGTCGCCAAGGCTATTCCCAACCTTAATGTCCCCAGCCAGACCATCTTTACTGTACAAGTTCCAGCAGTGAACCTCTCCTCACTGGTTCCTCCATTACCTGCATTTTCATGTTAATGAAAAGATCACTAATAATGGATTTCAAAATTGCAGTATGATTATGGCCTCAATTCACAGGTGGCACCAATAAGTGACCCAGTTTCAAAATTCTCTGCTTCACAAATCACTAGCAGACTATCAATTGTCCCTGCAATGTTTCAAACAAAAAAAGTTGGAAAAAAGTTCCTACAGCCAAAATGACACAGTATTCAGATTCACGTACCAACAGCACAAGAGAATCCTGATACATCATATAATTTCAAGTTAACAGAAAAGCATTTGTTATGGTTAGCAAAGAGTATTTTTTTAGGGGCTCTACTTGTTCCTAGATCATACTCTTC